ACCCCTGAGAGGATCGCATTCTTTCGCTAACCAGTCGCATTCATACTGTACTGGCAACCCGGCTGTGGGCCAAGTCTTCTCCAATGCCGTTGAATATCACAATCTCTCAAGAAGGAAGGAAGTTTTTGGCCCGCACTGTGTTGTGCTTTATGTTTTTTTCCGGTGCCGGTGCTGGTGAATCAACTCACCAACCTTTGCCCAGACTAGTTTGCCTCCTGTGTTCGAGTAGGAGGTCCTAAACAGGATCTGCCTATATTCTTCGAGTGGGCGCCATGTTCTTATATCGAACATGGGCCCTCTTGGTTTGCAGTCCCTTTGGCGGGATTGGCAGATCCAGAGCTCAAAAGAAGCTCTTGATCAATTGCCGAGCCTCCCCTGACCACGTGTTTGAACAGGTCACCATTCTTTGCTCTCAACAGCAAAAAACGATAGCAAACACCTCTCATCCATTGAGAAATCTATGGACCGGATGGGTCCTTAATTGTGGCTTTGACAGAAACATGCTGAACATGTTCATGCCATAGTTACAGTATATTTGTGTTGCACATCAAAAGTCCGCTCAGCCTGATGTGCAAACGCTTGTAGGTTGATTCATGCATATTCATACAGCATATATGTTGCTGAGTGGGATATACACTTACCCGGTTACCTGAGAGGAGTCCGCCTTGGGATGCTAGCAGTTTGCCGATGCCAGATTAGTCTAGGAGGTGGGCCCCTAGCATCACACGGTCACACGGCATGACATCCCACCCACATGCCGTAAGCGGCTTGCAGTTCGCCAAGTGAATCCCAAACCAAATCATGCCTGATGCCTTACCAACATTTTGTCAGGGTAGGCTTGCCAGGGTTGGTGTCAACAAACCTTTGAACTCATTGGGCATGTCATGTCATCTCGGGGTCAGCCCAGAATCTCGTTCCTGAACGAATCATCCAGACCTTCCCCGCGGCTCCAGGTACGGCCCCGTGGGCTTCGATCTCTTTCAGCATTTGTTCACTCGAACCCACCGCTGCCGCAGTGCGGTCCGGAGCCACAGCGGTCCTCGACCGAGCCAGGGAGGTCATCCGCAAAGTGTGAGGTCATCCGCACGGTCGATCCTGAGAACACTTTTATATGAATGTGCATATCATCGTTTTGTGTTGCCGTGTTGCCCGAATTTGGCGCGCCAAGACCCGTCAAGACGCTTGTCGCCCGCGGGTGCACGACTTCCGGAAGCGGTTGGGAGGCTCAGTGTGGGACAGATGGTTGATGGGAACATGATTTGATCTTTATCGCAGCATGGCGCTGTATGATGATAGAAAGTTATGATAGCCACTGTTTTATGCAACTCTATTTTGCTTATTGTTTTGTATGCTGCAATAATATTGTGCTATATGTCATTGGTTCGCACTGCGGTGATTCGCACATTTCACAGTTCTACGCTTCTATAACCCTGCCAGAGACACCCAGATTGTCTCGCAGAAACATGCCTCCTACAAGCCATGTCATTATGGCGATGTGAGCCCAAGTCAAGGGTGTTCATGCGGCGATTCAGCAGAGATGCGAATCAACCCACTCAGCAACGACTCGAATGGCCTCGTTCGCTTGTAGTGTGCGTGAGTCTCGAGCTGAGGGTGAACATCCTCTTCATGTCGCGGCCCTGAGAGGATGAAGATCCAAGAGTGCAAAGGGCGTGTAATTGCATTTTTGGGAGCCAACTCCACCAGGGCCTTTTTGGCTAAGATTTGGGCCGGCAGATGGGGACGTTTGTGACCAGGAGATTGCAGGATGTTGGTGGAGATTACCTGCACATCCGTCAGCCAGCTTCCGCTTTGCCACCTATCAATCGTTCACCGTTCTTCAACCTATCAGCCTTGCCCATCGTCCTATCAGCCTTCACCAGCTTCCGCCAAGCCAACGCCAGCGGTTTGCAGCTGATGTGGCTGAGGAACATGTTGAGGGGCCTCATTTGGAAGGTGCCAGAAAAGGACCAGGGTGCAGGGAGAAGATTCTTCAGAGCTTTGATATGCTTTGATATTCGGTTGTTGAAATGCTCCTCCAATGTGATATGTCCCATTCATGGGATGTGGAAGGTGACATGAGCTTAGATCTTATTGGTGCCCAATAACCTTTGTTTGGGGCTACATGGGCCCAAAGTGCCTGACATTGCCTGACAGAGAGACAGAAAGAAAGAGTCATCCAAAGCCTATCTAAATATATATATATACACATGTGTTGATAAAACATGATAAAACCTCGGCATTTGCTCCTGTACGCAGAAAACCCCAGCATTTTTACTGCAACCCTTCTAGCTGCAAATTGTACCAAAAATGCAACAAGTGACCAGGCGAAAAATCCCAGGACTTCGTGATACAGTGATCTACTTTAGCGCACGTGCGATGCCTACAGATCGACACAACGCGATTTTAGCGGCTGTTGCTATATCTGTTGAAACAGCCAAAAGAAATATTGTAACTTGCATTAATGATGCAAGTTAGTAGTTCCAGCACTTCCCCAGTTGGGACCCAACCACTCGGTCAAGTTGAAGCTTTGACCGACCTTAGATCCACAATCACATGGCGATCACCCAGCCCAGAACAGTCTCCAAACCTTAAAATCTCTAAGCCCTAACCCCTATCAGCCCTCCAAAAAGCGACCACAGTGTCGGCTTTTTGCAGGATTTCCAGGCACTCCGACACTGTTGGGAGCCTCGGTCCAACACTGCCAGAGCGTCAACCGAAGCAAAAAGGCAACATTGCAAGTTGTTATAGAGATAGGATTGGGTTAACATGTTTTCTTATTGATGCGGAAATGCACAGCTCCGCGTTTCGAACGGATTTGGTTGAGTTCTAGCCATTCCCCGACCTTGCTTGGCCAATTTCCTAAGGCATTTGACGAGGCCCTTTTTGAAGATCAATCACACTACAAAGATGATCTTCCCCAAGAGGTCTTAAGCAGTGAAGGATGTAGCTTACCAACTGTGTCCTGTCACAAATGGGGGTGTTGCAGAAGGGTGTCCGAAACTGGGCCTCAAGATAACACGGTGTTTTGACCTCAGTCCGGTGGGGAACTTTGGATTGACAGCAGCCTCGTTCTACCTTCCACACTCCTTGCAACTGAGAGCCTAATGGAAGCTGATGTTCTTGTGTTTGTTCCAACAATTTCTTCCAAGTGCCCCATTTCTTCAAAACCGGGACCCTGTGGGACCCTGTCCGCCACAGGCTATCACCGTGCCATGCAGGGTGCCTTGAAGCCATCGGCACTGATGACACGAAAGCTCAGCGAGGTGCAAGGGATGCTGCTGGGGAGCGGTTTGGCATGGAGAAGGGGCCCACCAGTCAGTCGCCAGTCGCTGGTTTACTTTCGTTTGCTGGGTGGATTCTATATTTTATCGGTTGTTCCTGATATGATTCAATTGATTATTGTCAATTTAACCTTTGCTGTTTGGCGACTGCAATTGAAACCTTCTTGGAGACCGAGACAGCTTCTCCAGCGGCCCCCGCCGCCAATTTGAGAGATGGTTTGGCACGATGTTTAATACACAAAATGGTATCGGTTTGGTGGAATGGGTGCAGTTGTAGAGAAGGCTGAGGATGTTTATTGCTGCACGCCGTCCGGGCACACCAAGAAACGGAGAGGATGCCGTTGGACAGTGGCAAACAGTTAAAAGATAATAAAAGCAGTTCGAAAGCCGTTGATGAAAGAAGATCCTGTGGCGTTTGACCCAGGATAGTATGAAGAAACCAAGATCTCACATGGAGCATTTAACCTCAACATGATGTGATAAGGAGTTCCAGTACTACGCGTGCTTCGACCCCTTAGGCGCCGCTCAGCCATGCCAAAAGGTGCGTGAGACGTGGCCCACCGGAGCCCGAGTCGTGCGGCCGCCTGGTCACAGCGACGTGGGTTGGAGCCTTGTTTGGCCGAGACTCAGGTCGGACGCCACCTGTGATAAAGAAAACACAGGTCATATGCAAAAACAGTTGCTGACGGTTGCTGGTTGCTTGGCATCTACGCCTTGTAGTGCTGTCGGCCACATGGAAACCATTGGAGGCCTACCTTCACAATTTGGTGAGATGCCATTGTTGCAGTTGAGACTTGGATCCACAGTCACGTTCATCCATGAGTAGTGAGAATGAGCAACGTATTGTTTTCGACGGATGCCCCGTCCACTGGATGAATCTACCATGTTCTGTAACCCAAGACAATGATGAAGGATCTATGTGCTGTACTGAAAAAGCTGTTCCCAAGACATTCTGTTGCACTGCCCCAGCACGGTCGTTCTGTTCGCTCGCTCGCTCCGTGCTTCACTGGAGCGGAGTTACACTCACATGACCGCCAGCGAAGGTCGGAGTGCACAAGCGCTTGGGCACCAACGAGGCGCACGGCGCCACGTGCCACGGCGTACGGCAGCCTCCATGGAGATCTTAACCTGTCCGGATGAACATGGATAAACCAGTGGATAAACCCTATGGCCGGTGGAAGCGTGTTGCCCAAGCCCAGGGTAAAAGGAGATCAATCTTTAAGTGCCTTGAAACAAAGGCCGCCCTTCCCAAATATTAGATTGAACAGAACCCAATAGACCCAACAGATGAAATGAACGATTAGATGCCTTGCACCTTGCGCCATTATGAGCTGGGGGCCGTTTCGCGGAAAGATGTCTCTACCCATTGGTTTCACAAGAACCTGGAGAAGCCGTCCCAGGCTTTGTGACGTGGGTGCAGCGGGGTGAGCAACCTTTTAGACTTCGTTTGGGTTGGATGCCGTTCCTTGACAGGTCTTTTATGCTCCTTAGTTCCCTTTGGATTCCACGCAAGCCTTATCATTTATGGGAGGGCGTGCAGTAGGGATTGGGCAAACCAGTATGTGTATATATAGGGGAGAAATGGCAGCAATATGTTCAGCTGACGAGAAAGTGTGAAAAGCTGCTGAGTTTCAGCATGTGAGTGACACACCATGCGACTGTCGCAGCCAGATGGTTCACTCATAGGTCGATCTGTGCGTGTGTGGACTTCCGAGTGGAATGGATGCCAGGGATTTTGTGTGCTATGTTGGGAAGTCCCAGGAGAGTCACGGAGTGAAAGAGTTCCAGATAGCTGTGGCACTGATGGAAGGCCACAAGGAATTGCTAAGCAAAAACGTTCCTTCTCAGTGGGGCGAGGTGCAGCTCTTCGATGTGTGCCTCAGGTTGGGTCTCTTCGACACTGCCTGTGCCATGGCTCAGAGAGGAGTCGGAGGCGGATTGGACGTCCATCACCTTAACAGGACTTTCTTTGAGTTTGATCCTCGGTTTCCTGATAATGAGCATGTTGAGCTTCTACACAGCCAATACAGCTGCACATGTTGCTGGGATCAGCGGAAGACGTGTGACGGGTGCTGCTTCGGCTTCCCAATCGACCATGGCATTTGGATGGAGGACTGGGCTGCAAATTGCAGGGATGCTGCAGAAGAGGCTTGCCAGACAGCCAAGCACCCCTTGGTTTGGAACCTGCTGGAGGCCCTTCACTGTGGCACTGCATTGCCTTTTGCCATTTCTGAGGAGGCCATGGTGCATTTGATGGACATCGCCATCCTCACCGGCGACAAGGAGGCAGCCATGCACTGCGCAGAGCCTATCCAGTCTCCGGCCCCTGCGACGGTGGAGTTGTGCGAGTTGTGGGCTTGACTATTTGACGCATCGAGCTTTCTACTTGGCCCGGGATCAGGGTAACTTTTGTCTCGAAGACGACGAGGCCTCGGACACCATTCCAATTTCGGAGTGCGAAATGCTCCGGATCCTTGCGGCCCTCTCGGCCGGCACGGCGCTGCAGGACCTTCAGACAAAGTATTTTGTTCATGTACCCTTCCAAGCCGCATTGGTTTTGTGCGGTGCTCGTCCTTGGGCCGACTTTGCAGATCTGCTGTCACCCCCTGAAGCTCCGTGGGCGCTGCCAGAAGAGAACGGCCTGGGAGGTTTCTTCCTCGATTCGACTGATCGTCGTCCTTTTTTTGCGGAAAGACAGGCTCGAAAATGTCCGGAAAGCTGGAATACCGTTGGCTGGTCTCAGCATTTTTTTCAGACACCAAGGCGGCAACCTCATGAACTTCTCGCTCTTGGATTGCGCAATTCTTTTTGAACAATCGGACTGCGCAGGTTTGCTGGCCACTGTGGGCACTGAGCTGTCTGACCTTGTTTGCTATCTTTTGCGAAGGCTGGATCCAGATCCTGCACGCCAGGCTGCGGCGATGGCAGCAGCCCGTGCGGCGTGGCAAATTGCATTGAAGTCGGAGATTTCAGCCAAAGGAATTGCTGTCTACCAGGCCATGAAGAAGCTTTCACAGGGGAGATCTTTTCCAGCTTTGCTGGTGGATGAGGTGGTGGCTTTCTCTACGGAGGTTCCGAAGGTCATCAAGGATTTAGATTTGTGGGAAGATGCAAGTTTTTTGCTTTCGCCAACATCCCAAGTTGAGAAAGAATTGCAGAAAGCTGGGAGTTCAGATGGTGCAGACTTTGCACATATGACTCCATAGAGCCAAGGAGCTCGACAAGGCACCCACCCAGATGGTGCTGTGGATGAGAAAGCCACCGATGAGCTCATACTGGCCATGCGTGCGAGCTGAAATGACATGCCGCCTCTGAACATGTGGATGTCTCATGGCTTTTGATCATGGTTGCAAGCAAACAAAATGGATCAATTACCCCGCAAAGCTAGAACACTTGGGTAAAGTTTGATGACTTTTCTACCTTTGGGCCTTCAGGTGAGGTGGTTGTTCAACCTTGTGACAGGTTTCTGCGTCGTTCCGAATCAACGGAAGTTGGAAGCAATTCACAGGTGAGATCGCCTTAACAGAGCAAGCTGCAGACCCCGCGGCCTCACAACGCAGGTGGCGTGCTGCCAGCTGGCGCAGCGGAATCCTCCGCCTGAGGAGTATTTGGCAATGGTCCCGGGGCACAGAAGGGCGCTTTCTTTAGGATGTGCTCCAAACTTCTTGTGGAGCCACACGCACACATAGATATCATTACACACACACACATATATATATATATATATTTGTTTAAACACAACAATAGCACGCACATATATATATATATGTTATAGTCTATTTCACACATTCAATGACTTGCCGTTTGGATAATATATACGGGCATTTGTGTATGTCAAGAGCATGGTGAGAGCGCCCATGCTGACACGCTCAAGACTGCAGCCTAATCCCGCACAAAGATCAGGGCTCTCCATCATACAAAATTGCTTTGGACAGAGGTTGATGTACAGGGATTGTGTTCCCATGGTCCACCACGGTGTCAAGACTATAGCTCAGCTCAATAAACTATCCAAAGCTCCTTAAGAGCCATATTTTCTGAAGCTAGTGTGTGATCCAGTGTTAGTGTGTGATCCAGTGTCAAGGCAACAGGCCAAAGATCAGAATCAATTGGCCTGCAAACAAGCTTTTTGACTGGCGGGCATGGTAAAGCAGAAGGGTCAGGTGTCAACTTGTAGGTAAAAGTGTTTCTTTCCGGAATGTCAAGACTATGGGGCAAGCGATGGCTGAAAGCATTTGCGCTTTCGGCCACTGTCAAGACTATGGAACCGACATTGCCCAGTTGCATCTTGCGGGGCCTAAGACCACTCCCAACGTGTCATGGGCAAAACATGTCCTGAAATCCTTTAGACTCCAGTTTTTTCAGCTTCCATGTGCTGTTTGTTTCCACGGTTTGGATGCCACTCGTGAGGATGTGTCCTCGAAACATCGATAAACAATGATTAGATATATATATATATATATGTTATATATATGTTATACACATATATATATATATATCAGTTATGCAGTGGACAGATTGGTTTTCAAGGTAGGTTGACTTCTTGGCAGATTTCCTCGCACGACCTGTTTTTGTGGGCTGAGAGGAAGGTGTTGATGGAATGCTGGGAAAACATATCACCTTGGAAGATGTATGTGTTTAATCATGTTTGTGAGGATGGATCGCCCTCAAGATCATAAGGATGGATTTAGTAGGGAAATGATCCTCCAGTGTTGCCCTACGGCCTAAGGTGACCATCAGTCTAGAGTCGATTGAACATCCCACGCTTAGAATGGATCTGCACGGTGTGGAGTAAAGGGTGGGCGTGTTGAACAACATGGCTCCTTTTTGCGAGGCTCACCATGGAACAAGGCCGAGCGAAGCCCTGCCCTTTGCCATGAAACATCTGAGGCAAAGGTGCTTCTGCAGCAGACGCCGTCGTAGTCTCAGGGGAACTCAACACTGGAACGCTCCGAACTGGTGGGTTTGCAACAAGACGACGTCCTCTACGAACAAAGGGTGGGAGGGTCGGAGAGGTGTTGGATTCATTGAATGCTGCCATGGGGCTGGCCTTCCAACGGATAGGTTGTATGTACTTTGCTTGAACATTTTGATCATACATAGTTTGATCACTTCAACAAAGACAGAATCTTCAGAAGCTCCTAGCCTACTGACTGCTTCCTGGCTGCTTTGCCTCTGGTCACCTGAATGTTGCCTGAATCGCTTTCCTTCAAGCCTCCTGTTGTGGCACCCTTCGTATCCTTAACTTAAAGACTCGAACAACTCAGGCCTGGAACGCCGCAGGTGCGGGGGAGCACTGATGAAAACCACACTTTCCCAAGCCAGGGCACGCCGATGGGCGCAGAAGGGACTAGAGCGAACTCTTGGATTTCTGGAATTGCTCACCCTGCATGGTATTCCTTGTAACTACAGTCATCTATAGTCCTTGGGCGGCATGGCACTTTTTAACATATAAGTTTTGGCAATCACCTGACATGGCAAGGGTATGCAAGGGTGTTGTTCTTTCAATACTATGGGGTGGCTCTTGACAAAGGTCCCAGAGCGCAGCCGAGTGCAGTCGCATCGATTCCTGGAAAGGATACGAATTTAACTTTACGCAATAAGCTTGCCATCCCATTTTGTTGCTTTTGTGAAGCCCACGTGAGCCCTTCGTAGTGCCCTTCATATGGTCATTCTATAGGTGATTCCCTATGAGTTCGGCTCCGCCAGGTCCTCTACTTGGCCACGGACGAGGTGCAGACCGCCGAGTATTTTCGGAAGGCACCGCCGGTTGAAGGGTTGGTGGTTGGTGGGCAGAGCGGGAGGATTTGGCTGCAATCGCGAAGAAAGCACCGTATGAACCACAGAAGAACTTATATAAATCATTCTATATAAATATGCAGTTGTTCAGGATGTTCTTGTTCGATGATTTTTGTAACAAGACTTTTTTTGGGTGTGCCTTTAACTCCCCAGGTTTTTGCAGCTTGACCCTTCGAAGTCTCCAGCCTTCTCAGCAAGAGACCTTCCAGGCACTTCCACCTGGCGGCCAGGTGCACGTGTGCTTTTGGTTAGGTTTTGGGGGCGACGTGAGGGCTCAATGAATAATGCATAAAGCACAATGGTGATTTATACATTTGTGATGTATGATGATTTTCAGTGTTGTGTTCCTGTTCCCCTTCTTTAGGATGGTTCGTTCTTCCAAAGCTGTGACAGGCCTCCTGTTTCTCCAATGATGACGTAGTCGGAATTCTTGTGATACATTCTGAAGTTCTCTCACCTGCCGTAGATTTGCAAGTGTTTTCGCCAACGCAAAGTTTTCGCGCCGAGTGGCTTTGCATGTTTTTGGATGCACGACCCATGGAGAGAGAGTCTTCCTCACAGTTTGATTAAGGTTCGATAAAATGGACATAAGCTACTAGGGGCTCCTGGCATCGCTACTAGGAGCAAGGACGCTACGAACGGGGCTCCTGGCCATACTAATGTTGGATCCTGATTAGTAAAGGGGTCCTCTATAATGCTAAATTTTCCAAATTTATGCAGACCCCCATGTTTGAAAAATGGGTCCTGAATCATGCTAATTTTTTGGGGGGACCCTAAATTTTCAAATTGGAAACCTAATTAATAAGGGTTTGCATTCCTTCTGAGGCCAATGATTATGATTCGTTAGTTAGACGATATAGCTTTCTCTAGGTTTCTTCAAAACTGACAGCTGACCAAAACCACCAATTCCTAATTGAACCCTTTATAAAACATTGCTCCTAAACAAATTTTCAAGGTAGTAGACCAGGAAGGCACCTGATCCTCAATAATAGATTTGTTTTTCTCAATTGTGAAAAGTTTTTTTCACTGGAAAAAAATGCTCATGTAATCTTCCTTTCCTTAGCTCCTGAGGCCAATGATTATGATGCATTAGCTGATATAGTTTTCTCTAGGTTTCTTCAAAACTGACAGCTTTCTCACAGGAATTCTCACAGGAATCCAGATTTGTTTTGGTGATAGTTTAATTATAGAGGGTCTCCTGTTTGTTTGAGGGGAGGAGGGGGCCCCCCCTTTACCAATCAGGATCCAACATTACTAGTAACAAGGACGCTACTAGGATTCAGATGCTTCAGGATGAAAGCCCCACCGGATGAATTCCCTTCAACCGTCGACGGTGAGAGAGGAATGACCGTCCTTCGGAGCGATTGCCAGATCCACTTGTGCTGCCGTGAGGGAGTGAAGCAGGGGGTCTTAGTTGCTTTTCAGGCTCGGTTTTTTCGGAGCCTGGCTCCGGAACGGTTGCGAACTTGTTCCGTTGCATGTTCATGTTCGACCAAACTCTGGGGTCTTGCAATCCGGTCTGCCATCCCAAAAAGCCTACCAACCAGCAATGCCTGCCAGCAAAACCCAACAAACCTCTCCCCTAATCCAACCCCAAACTCCTGACTTCACCCACCGAATCCTTTGAGCTCGCCGGTCGCTCCCCTCCCAGGCGCTCTCGTGGCGGCGTCCGCCCCGACGGCATCGACGACGAAGTGCACCGCTCGCCCTGCGAGAAGACGGAGGCAGAGGCGTGGCCGCCTCGTTGGCACTGCACGGCGTAGCATGACCCTCCAATTGGCACCTGGTCGTTTGGGGGGGTTCCACACGATGTGGCGCAATGGTTGATGTTAGTTACGCTTTGGTTTTAGGAACTCTGATGGCTCACAGGTCATAGATTTAAGATGTTGGCAGGGTTTGAGGTCCACCATGTAACACTTTGTTTTTTGAACGTGCACACGTGCATGTTACTATATCTCCTGAGGATCTCCAGCATTTGCATTGCTAGAATCAAGCATGGTATTCCTGCAACAGTTTTGAAGCAACTTGTCAAATTTGCACGAGTTGTCCTACCCACTGCCAGGCAACAACTAACTAGGGCAGCTTGGCAAATGTCGAATCGCTCCATTGTTGAGGTAGGCGTCCCGCCGTTCAACCTGCTGCACCCCAGGATGCACTTTTGGATGCTCTTTGCCTCAGCCAGTGCACCGACTTGGTTTGCATTGCCTGGCCCCTAGAAAATGGTAGACGGCTGGTTTGGTGCATCGCCCCCGAGCCAACATATCGATTCTCTTTAGATTCTTTAGAGTGTTTGCCCATGTTGGTTCTCCAGGTCGTAGTTTGAATCCAGTGCGATAGAGTTTCCGGGTGGAGAATCCTTCTTGATTCAAGTTGTTTCGTCGCGGGGCACGCGGGGCCTACAGTCACCCCA